CTGAGACATCCTCACAAAACGGGCCCCGGGGGGGATGCCCAGAGGAGCCCAGAGCGGCCTCCGGCACCGTTTCCGGACGGATCCGCTGGATCCGCTGGATCCGGTGACGAATCCCAAACCGGCGCCCTCGCCTGAGACATCCTCACAAAACGGGCCCCGGGGGGGATGCCCAGAGGAGCCCAGAGCGGCCTCCGGCACCGTTTCCGGACGGATCCGCTGGATCCGCTGGATCCGGTGACGAATCCCAAACCGGCGCCCTCGCCTGAGACATCCTCACAAAACGGGCCCCGGGGGGGATGCCCAGAGGAGCCCAGAGCGGCCTCCGGCACCGTTTCCGGACGGATCCGCTGGATCCGCTGGATCCGGTGACGAATCCCAAACCGGCGCCCTCGCCTGAGACATCCTCACAAAACGGGCCCCGGGGGGGATGCCCAGAGGAGCCCAGAGCGGCCTCCGGCACCGTTTCCGGACGGACGACCTGACTGCATAACACGCCTGGATATGCCGACGGGGGCGAAGGAGGAGGAGGAGGAGGAGGAGGAGGAGGAGGAGGAGGAGGAGGAGGAGGAGGAGGAGGAGGGGGAGGGGGCAGGCGAGGGAGCCCCGGCCCTGGGGGAGGGGCCCTGAGGGAGCCCTGATGGGCTTCCGGCACCATGGAGAGGTCCTGTGGGGCGGCCGCCCCTTCTTCTCTCGGTCGTTTCCCTCTCGCCCAGAAGCGCGCGCCCCTTCTTCTATATATATATATATATATATATATATATATATACAGAAACTCCCGATCAACCGCAGAGCGGCGGATGTTAATGATGATGATGATGATGGTGATGATGATGATGATGCTGCTGCTGCTGCTGATGATGATGATGATGATGATGATGACGCTGATGATGATGACGATGACGATGACGATGACGACGACGACGCGCATGAAGATGATGTTGTTGACGATGCTGATGCTGACGGTGATGGTCGTGATAATGCGGTTGTTGATTATGACGATGCTGGCGATGCCGATGATAATGATGATGATGCTGATGATGATGATGATGATGGTGACAGTGGTGATGATAGCGATGCTGATACTGATCATGATGACGATGATGATGTGATGACGCTGATGATCTGTTGATGGTTCTCCACATAGGCTTGACCTATAGGAGTTCTAGCTTCAACCTTACTACTTGGTCCGTTGCCCCCCATAATTCCTATGCCCCCCTAATTCTTATGGCTATTTCCACTGGCACCCCCCAACTATTTCCAATGGCGAATCCTATGGATTATATGGATTCCTATGAGTCGCATGGATTCCAATGCTTGCTTGCTCTTGCTTGCTTGCGTGCACTTGCGTGCTTGCTCTTGCGTGCTTGCTCTTGCACACTCATTTGCACTTGCTTGCTTGCTCTTGCGTGCTTGCTCTCGCTTGCTTGCTCTTGCTTGCCCTTGCTTGCTTGCATTTGCTCACTGGCTCTTGCTTGCTTGTTATTGCTCGCTTGCGCTTGCTTGCTTCCGCTTGCTTGCGCGTGCTTGGTTTTGCTCCTCCCGTCCTCCTCTTGTCCTGCTCCCGTCCTCCTGTCGTCCTCCTCCCATAATCCTCTCGTCCCCCTCCTGTCAAACTATCTATTTGGAGTCAACGCTGGCTGATATGATGATTATGATGTTGATACCGATGATCATGATGGTGATGCTGATGATGTTGACGCGTACGATGATGATGCTGCTCTGCTGATGATGATGACGATGATGCTGGCGATTGTGGCGGTGATGATGCTGCTGATGATGATGGTGATGATGATGATGACGATAATGCTGATGCTGATGCTGACGCCGATGACGATGCTGATGATGATGCTGATGCAGATTATGACGATGCTGCTGATGATGATTAGAGGTATGATGAGTATGACGATGACGGTGTTGATGCCTCTTATGATGGTGCTGATGCTGATGTTGCTGACGGTGGTGATGATGATGATGATGATGATGATGATGATCATGGTGATGATCATGTTGGTGTTGATGATGATGGTGCTGACGATGACAATGACGATGACGATGATGCTGATAATGATGATGGTGTCGATGCTGATGCCGATGCTGGTGATGATGATGACGACGGTGACGATAATGAAGAGGAGGAGGAAACTAAGGAGCATGACCAGGGATACTGATAATATCCAGGATGCAATGTGGATGAAAGGTATATGGAGGAGGAACATCAGCAGCAGGAGGGCGATGTGGAGGAGAGGGAGGATGGCGAGGAGGGAGAGCGACGAGGGGACAAACATGACCTAAGAGGGAGGGGAGGAGGAGGGGGATGAAGAAGATGCTCAGCAGGAAAACATTATGTCGAGGAAGGAAAAAGGAGGAGGAAGAGGAGGAGGAGGTGGAGGTGGAGGAGGAGAAAGAGGAACATCCGAGGAGAGCGACGGGGAGGAGTGCCAGAAAGAGGCAGAGGAGACGAGGATGGGGAGAGGGTGGACCAGCGGATGGCGAGGTGGAGAAAGAGAAAGGAGGGGGGCCAGGGAAAACCCGAAGAGCTCGTCCTGATCGTCAGCCCCCCTACTCCTCGCTTGGAAATCCCCGCTACAACCTGATACACTTCCTCTTTCTGTCTTCTTCCCTCACCACCCCCGTCTTCCATGCCGTTCCCTCTTTCTTTGTTCTGCTGCGGTTGTTGCAGTACGCGCGCGTGCTGGAAAAACATGGCGTCGTTAAGCTAATGATGGTCCCGATGGCTCGGTGTGCGCCCTGGGATCTTATGAAGGAAACGCTGGCGCACACGTTGCTGCGCCAAACAGGGTGCGCGCGCTGCACGAAGATGACAAGGAACAAACACCGATATGATCCTGATTCAGATGATGTATGACACGTGTTGCGTGCTCGAAAATAACGCCACATCCCGAATCCGGCAATAGTGCTTCACACTGAAAAAACCATACCATATTACTGATGTTCTCGGCCTCGAGAACCCCACACCACCATATCGCACCCTTCCGCAAAACATCCTAGCGCTCCAGCCGCAAACCGCCACTCCGATCGCAACCAGACGGTCACCGTCTGTGTTCGTGGCCTCTCCTAGACCGCCGTCCACGCAGATTTTGCTGCACGCCCCCCCCCCCCCTGCGAGAGCATATTCCAGATTTCGTAATAAAAGGGAGGGGGTCTGGACCCTCCAAGACAAGCCATTTCAGACCCCCCCCCGTGGGAGAACCCTCCAAAAAATCGTCCCCAGACCCCCCCAGGCCCTCCAAGATAGCCTGGAAGAGACCCCCCCGAAATGAGACCCCCCTCCCTTTATTACGAAATCTGGAGTATTCACGGATTGCCGCGGAATCCAATAAAGCCAACGTGACCTTTCACCCATCGCCAATTTGACCGCGCAGCCATCTGCAGTGCGGACAAACCGCGCGCGGGTCGACCCTCACCCCTGGGGGTGTTGACTCTGCCAGTGGCACTTCAGGTGGACGGCGAGCCTGCCCGAAGGGCGAGCGACTCCCAAAGGAGCGCGCGCAAAACAACCCCTGCCATTGGAGGGGGAAGACGAAGACGATGATGATGATGATGATGATGATGAGGAGGAGGAGGAGGAGGAGGAGGAGGAGGAGGAGGAGGACGGGGAAGAGGAGGAGGAGGAGGAGGAGGAGGAGGAGGAGGAGGAGGAGGGGGAGGAAGAGGAGGAGGGGGAGGAGGAGGTGGAGGGGGAGGAGGCGCGTCTTGTGAAGCGCCCCAACAGTTTGGCCCTGCGCACGTGCCGCGCTCGCCCCGGAGAGACCGCCGCACCGTCGCGGCCGAGCAAGACCCGCCCGCGCCCCAGCGCACGCACGCCGCGCCAGCATGCAGGCGCCAGTGCCGTCGGCACAGCGGGTCCCGCCGCGCATCCTCCTCTCCTTCTTGGCGGCGCGCAAAAAAGGGGGCAGGGGGAGGGGGGAAGGCTTCTCAGAAGCACCCCGCTGCTCAGAAGGCCTCGGCCTTGCGCCTATACAGAGAAGGCCCGCGCCTTCTAGGAAGCAGGGGTGCTTCTGAGAGGCCTTCCCCCCTCCCCCTGCCCCCCTCTGCGCGCTGCCGACCCTCCCCTTCCCCCCTCCCTGCGTGGCGGCCCAAGCGGCAGGATGGCGCAGACCAGCAGCAGCGCGCCAGCCCCCTCCCCCCTGACTGGCCGACGCGCGCTCCGCAGCGTCCCCCACTGCCCACCGCTCGCGGCGGCCCGAGCGCCGCGGCGGGCCGCGGCCCACGCGGTGCGCCCGGCACGCCCCGACGCCGGGCAGCTCCTTTCGGAGCGGAACAGGCCAGGCAACGAGGGGAAACACGACTGCGCCGGAGACGACGTAGGCACGGCGACGAGAGGCGAGCGCCCTCCCCGAGCGCACCCACTGAAAACTCTGGCCTCGGTCGTCGCCATCAGATCACAGTGGGCCGCGCGAACTGACGTCGCACAGCGGACGTCCAGCACCTCCGACCGCGGCCTCGGCGGGCCCGGCGGCTCCCTGGGGGGGCAGCCTTGAGCAGCTCCGCCCCAGTTCCTTCGAAAGCCGGCTTCGTGTTGAAGCTGGCGCGGGGGGGGGGGTTTGGGTTCGGGGAGAAGCGGGTGGCGCCACGACTTGGGAGTCCCGAAACGGTGCGCTGACAGGCCGTTGCGGTGACCTCGAGATCCCCCAAGACCTCACCGCACGGTCCGCCACCGCACGGTCTTGGGACCTCGGAGGCCCCCGTCGCCCGAGACGTCCTCGGAGAACGGCCCGAGTCCCAAAACCGTGCGGTGACCCCGAATCCCCACCGAGTCACCGCACTGTGTGGTCACCGCACCGTTTGGGGGCCCCCGAACGACGCACGTGTCACTTCTGCTACCTCCCGCCAGAACCTAAACGCGGCCCAGGCTCCATCTGAAACCGCTCCTCAGCAATGGGGTTCATGCTCCTCCTCCTCCTCCTCCTCCACCTTTCCCTCCTGTTCCTCCGGTTCTTCCTGTTCGAAAGGACGCCCCCCCCACTCTCACAGGATACCTCGCGATGCAATCGCGGTGGAAGAAGTGTTTGCACGGCAGCGCGGCGATGGAGTCCCCCGCCTTCGGGTTTCAGCTTGGCGCGCGCCGCGAGGAAGAGGAGGGTGAGGAACAGGACAGAGAAAGAGGGAGTGATAGAGAGAGAGAGAGAAAGCGAGAGAGAAGCAAACGAATGATACACATAGAGAAAGAGAGCGAAGGGGATATCTAGGGATAGAGAGAGAGAAAGAAAAAAAGGGGAGAGAGAGAGAGAGAGAGAGAGAGAGATAGAGAGAGATGGAGGAAAGGAGGGAGGGAGGGATATATAACCATATAGCTCGAAAATACGAAAGGAATACAGGGGGGGAGGAGGAGGACGAGGAGGAGGAGGAAAACCAGTGTAAACCCAAGAGGCATCAACGATGTTGGAATAAAGTCTCCCTCCGAACTCCCTCTGCATAGGCCCTTATGACGGTTCAATTTACTTAGGGACCTGCAACTGTTTGAAGGCCCTGAAGCATGCCAAATCAGTGTTCTCGGGATTCCAACGCCACGGATCAACCTGACTGTTGCGTCTTGACGATCCTGCATCGTGACATTACGCCATTCGTGGGACTTGAACACCGCGAGCCAACATAACTCATGCACCCTCATAAGCCTGAATCCGTCCAAAACAACATTTCTGGTACGTCGATCATGGGAATCTGATCTTATTGCAAATTATACAAACGAATGTGCGCGGCGCGAAGGTGAGAGCTACATTTTGAACAGGAGCCGCCCTCAACCCGTTTTGAAAACCGCTCGCCCTCAATCCGTGAAGCTCTTGCAATTGTTTTAATTAAACGAAAACGCGTGGCGTTTATGCGAGAACCATATTTTGAAAACCAATCGCCCTCAATCCGTGAAGCTCTTGCGAATGTTAAAAACCCAACGTGCGCGGCGCTGAGGTGAGAGCCATGTTTTGAGAACGACCCGCCCTCCATCTGTGAAGCTGTTCTTAATTCTTAAATGGGGAGGGAGTCTCAGGCGAAACGCCCGGCCCGCTCTAAAAACTGGCCCACCCTAGAAAGGATACCTCGCGATGCAATCGCGGTGGGAGAAGTGTTTGCGCGGCAGCGCGGCGATGGAGTCCCCCGCCTTCGGTCTTCGGCTTCGCGCGCGCCGCGAGGAAGAGGGGGATGGGGAGGAGGCAGAGAAAGAGAAAGGGAGACAGAGAAAGAGAGAGAGAGAGAGGGAGAAATAAGGATGTATCTATATATATATATATATATGTATATATACATATATATATATATGATAAGCAAACCAATGATACAGAGAGAGAGGGGGGGGAAATAGGGAGAGAGAGAGAGAGAGACACAACAAGAGAGAGAGAGAGTGAAAAAGGAAGGAAGAAAGGGGAAGGAAGGAGGAGGAGGAGGAGGAGGAGGAGGAGGAGGAGGAGGAGGAGGAGGGGGGGGAGGAGGCAGAGGAGGAGGAAGAGGACGAGGAGGAGTTCCGTCTTTACAAATTGCTACAATGCCCCGCTGAAAAAAAACAATACGTGAACATGTGGAATTGCGCCAAAACACCATCCCTGGATCGCAACGCTGCGAATCACTGCTAGTGTTGCGCCTTCACGATCCTAAATCGTACCAAAACGCCATTTCTCGGAACTTCAGCGTTGCGCATCAACGTGGCTGTTGCGCCCTGACATTCCGACATCGTGCCAGAACACCATTTCTGGGACGCTAACCATGCTAATCCTTCGGACTGCTGCGAACTCTTAAGACGAATGCGCGCGGCGCTACAATGATACCCCCTTTTTGAAAACCAGCAGCCCTCCATCCGTGAAGCTCTTGCAATTTTTGACCGCGAGTGAGCGCGGCGCTAAGGCGAGAGCTCCTCCTCCTCCTCCTCCTCCTCCTCCTCCTCCTCCTCCTCCCCACGACACCCTTCCTCCTCATCGTCCCTTCCTCTTCTTCTCTCGGCGGTGGACAAACCTCCCTTCAATAAACCTCCCCTTAGTGAAAACGGCCTGGGGCCGAAACCGACGGACCTGGACCCGCAAAAATGACGGCCGCGACGCCCTCTCGCGAACCGGAAACGGCCAACTCCTTACTCGATGTGTTAGGGTAGGAGGTCTATCAACCTCCGACTCTTCCTCCTCATTCCCTTCTCATCTTCCTCCTCCTCCTCCTCCTCCTCCTCCTCCTGCTCCTCCTCCTCCTCCTCCTCCTGCTGCTCCTCCTCCTCCTCCTCCTCCTCCTCCTCCTCTTTCCTCCCTCACGATCCAGGAGGCGCCGTGGCCACGACGACGTGGGCCATCTCGCGCGCTGGGACAATTTTTGGGCGCGTGGACTGCGCGACACAATGCTGCCCCACCGGGCACGGCGGGTGCGACCACGACGGAGGAGGAAAAGGAGGAGGAGGAGGAGGAGGAGGACTGTTTCTCGTGAGTCTTCTCACCAGCGCACTTGTCATACCCATCCCTGCCTCCAGATCTCTCCGAACCCCTCCTGGCGTCTTTCTTTCTAAGGGACCGCTCATTCCGCCGGCCCGAGGGGGCGTCCTCTGGCCACCATTTCAGGCGCTCTGAGCGCCGCTGGGCTGTCCAGAAGCCTCCCAAACCAGTTGTTCGGGGCCTCTCGGGGCCCTGCTGGGCTCAGCCACCTTGGGAAGTTCTGGATGCCTGTCCACCTTCGCTCGGGTTCAAAGCACCTGCAAAACCTGATGAGCAAACACACTTGTAAAACGCATGAGATTTTGACGATCTGACTGCCTCTCGGGCCCAGCCCGAGCTGCGCCTTTTGGACAATTTGTTCGGTCGTCCGGGCCACCTCAGAGAGCCCCCCGGAGCGTCTCCAGGAGCCAAAAAGACTAAATCGCGATGTCTTTTCCCTCTCTTTCCCCTCGTTCGCACCACGATTTGGAGTCCCGAAACGGTGCGGTGACAGACCGTGCGGTGACCTCGAACCCCCAAGGGACCTCACCGCACGGTCCGTCACCGCACGGTCTTGGGACCCTAGAGGCCCCTGTCGCCCGAGACGTCCTCGGAGAGGGACTCGAGCCCCAAAACCGTGCGGTGACCTCGAATCCCCACCGACTCACCGCAGTGTGTGGTCACCACACCGTTTGGGGGCCCCCGAACGACGCACGTGTCACTTCTGCTACCTCCCGCCGGAACCCAAACGCGGCCCAGGCTCCATCTGAAACCTCTCCTCAGCAACGGGGTTCCTGCTCCTCCTCCTCCTCCTCCTCCTCCACCACCTTTTCCTCCTGTTCCTCCGGTTCTTCCTGTTCGAAAGGACGCCCCCCCCACTCTCACAGGATACCTCGCGATGCCATCGCGGTGGTACTCGATTTACAATGTTGCACTCGACCCATCCAGGCCACATCTTGGGCCCCTCCCGGGCCCCCCCTGGCGTCCTTTCGGGGCCGAGCCCGAGGGTTGCTCGGGCCTTTCGGGCCTGCCTGCGGCCGCCCTCGCGGCGGCTCGTCGGGGCCCTCCTCGATTTCCAGGAGGAGGAGGAGGAGGAGGAGGAGGAGGAGGAGGAGAAGGAGGAGGACAAGGAGGAGGAAACGGAGGAGGAGGAGGAGGAGGAGGAGGAGGAGGAGGAGGAGGAGGAGGAGGAGGAGCAGGAGCAGGCGCCTTCGTGGGCCCCATTTAGCCTCTGTGTGACGCAGTGCTGCTCAGGTGGTCCGCTTCTTTCTACAGCGAGCTTCGCGAATCTGGTCGCAGGGTTCACGCCTTCCCACATCTGCGTCAAAGCGACCGCGCTCCAAAAAAAGGGGCGGCCGTGTCTGCCTTCTCGGGGGCGCATGATTCAATCAAATTGGCCGTTCGGGCACTGCTGGGGGGGGGGACTTCGTTTCGGGGAGCTCCACCGCGGGGAGCTTCGGTGGAGCTCCCCGCGGGGAGCTCCACCGAAGCGGAGAGTGAAATTGTCCGCATGCGTCCTGGAAGCCCAATGTGGCATTTCACCCACCCAGCACGGGGCTTCGTGGCCCCATGGGGAGCTCCACCGAAACCCCCAGTGGGACTGCCCGCGTGCGCCCCGAAAACTTGCTTTGGCACTTTCGCCCGCCCAGTACAGCGTCTCCTGGCTTCGGAGATGGCCTGGGAGAGCTCCTCCGAGGGCCCCCGGAGGGCCGGAGGCCTTCTGCAGGGCTGGGGCGAAAGGGGGGAATATAGCAAGGGGGGGGTGAGAATCAGCTCACGTGGCTGATTTTCCCGGCGCCTCCTGGCGCCGGGAGGCGCCCATGTGTCGAGGAGTGGGCCCGGCGGCGGGGCCGAAACCAGCTGCATGCAGCAGATTTCGTAACCCTCCCTTTCCCTATCCCCCCCTTTCGTTCGGCCCAGTGGGAGCTCCACCGAACCCCCAGTGGGACTGCCCGCGTGCGCCCCGAAAACTTGCTTTGGCACTTTCACCCGCCCAGTACAGCGTCTCCTGGCTTCGGAGACGGCCTGGGAGAGCTCCTCCGAGGGCCCCCGAGGGCCGGAGGCCTTCTGCAGGGCCGGGGCGAAAGGGGGGGACCCGCGCCGCCGCCGCGCCGCCGCCAGAGACAAGCCAGGGGTTATCTTTGTTTTTGCACCGCGGCTAGCATGAGTTTGGCCGCTTTGGTACGCCCGTGTTGAGACGCAAAAAAAAGGGGGGGGGACAGCAAGGGGGGGGGGGAGAATCAGCTCACGCGGCCGATTTTCCCGGCGCCTCCTGGCGCCGGGAGGCGCCCACGTGTCGAGGAGCTGGCTGCCGAGCCCGCCGCCGAGGCCCGCGCCAGCTGCCCCCCCCCGGGCGGCGTCGCCGAGGCACGCGCCGCTCCCGCCACGGCGCGCCCGGGGTCAACACCGCGCAGGGCCCCCGAGGAGGAGGAGGAGGAGGAGGAGGAGGAACCATGAGAGGGCGAGGAGGAGGAGGAACCATTAGAGGGCGAGGAGGAGGAGGAGGAGGAACCATGAGAGGGCGAGGAGGAGGAGGAGGAGGAGGAGGAGGAGGAGGAGGAGGAGGAGGAGGAGGAGGAGAGGAACCATGATTGGGCGAGGAGGAGGAGGAGGAGGAGGAGGAGGAGGAGGAGGGGCAGCTGGCGGCAGCTTCTGTGCCGCCGGGCCCCTCGAAGTCGCTGTGCGCAGCTCTGCGGACCGGCGCTGCGACGCCAGCAGCCGGCGAGCAGCCGGTGCCCAAAGCTGCTGCCATCCCACGGGCAGTCCGCGGTGGATCACCATAGGCGTGAAGTCTGCCTCCAGCAACATGTTGCCCAAGACTTCCGAACGTTACTCGAACAGCAAGACCAAATCCAGAGTCATAACCAGTCGGGCAACTGTGCGCTGCAGGGCCGAGTCCCATCTGCGTGAGAAATGAGGAATATTGAAATTATGGAGAACGAGGAAGAGAAGGGAGGGAGGAGGAAGTGGATGAGAAGGAGGAGGATGGACGTTAGCTGTGAAGGACGAAAGAATACGAAGAGAAGGAGTAAGGGAGGATGACGAGGAGGACAATGATTAACCATGGTGATGATGAGGAGGATGATGATGAGGATGACTGAGGAAATGCTAGGAAAGAATGAGGGAAAGACAGAAGAGCAAGAGGACAATCATTTACCCATAATCCATCAACGATGCTGTGATACTCTGTCCCGTGCCAAATCCCACATAAGCCCCTGAAGGCGCTTCTTTTCAAAACCAGGAATACTTTGGAAGAAAGACCCCCCACGGGCATGTCATTGAGGCGACGGCGCCGTTTTGAAAAGGAACTTACCTGCATAACGCAATGAGGTCAAGAACATGAATATACGTGTCCAACGATAGCCTACTTTAAAATGGGCCGCCCTCCATCCGTGTAACAGTCGCACACGTTCACGCATAAGTAGTCGTTTGACTGTTTCTCATGCGATAGCCCTACCTTGAAAAGACACGGCCCTCCATCTTGGTAAGCAACGGCTGCATCGGGCAGTATGTTTGACTGCGTCTCAAGCGAGGGCCCCTTTTTGAAAACGATTCGCCACCCATCCTTGTAGATGTTGCACGATGCCACACTTCGGTTCGTAAACGTTGAAGTCGTAAACGAGAGCCCGATGTTGAAAAAAAACCGCCCTTCATCCTTGTAACTGGTGGAAGCATTTACGACGAGCGTGTGCGGCGCAAAGGCGGGAGCCGCAATTCGGAAACGATTCGCAATTCATTATTGTGGAGGTTGGAAGCTTCACGACCAGTGTGCGCGGCGCGCAGCATTTTGGGAACGACCCGCCCTCCATCATTGTACGTAACTATTAGGAGTTTTATGCTCGGAGCCATACGTGGAGGACATCTCGGACGAAACGCCGGAAGCGCCCAACCGACGCGTCTGGCGGTGTGACGAGGAGGACTTGGTTTTAAGGAAGGGTGGTGGAAGAGGAAGAGGAGGAGGAGGTTGGAGTGGAACGCGAACCAACAAAACGGGAGCGTGAACGGGGAGGGCCAGGAGAACGAGAGGGGGACCAGGAGAGCGAGAACGAGGAGGACCAGGATTGAGAGAGAGAGAGAGGAGGACCAGGAACAGACAACAGCATGAACATTCACTTGCGAGGTCCGCTCGGGGTTCCTGGATCGGTGCTGGGCCCCCCTCCCCGGCGCGCGGAGCTCGCCAGGGGCGGCGCCAGAGGCGCCGCCAGGGGAGCCCAATGCGGATTCGAGACATCCGCGCGGAGATTCGACAGATTATGTTTGTGCCGCTCTTCTTCGTCGGGAGCGAGAGAGATAGAAAGAGAGAGAGAGAGAGAAAGAGAGCGAAAGAGAGAGAGAGAGAGAGAGAGATGAAGAGACCGAGAGAGACCGAGCGAATGAGAAAGAATGGAGCCAAAGAGGGGACCTCCTCCTCCTCCTCCTCCTCCTCCTCCTCCTCCTCCTGCTCCTCCTCCTCCTCCTCCACAGAGTGGAGCGGACCGGAAAAAGACAGATGACGACGACGCCACCGAGCCTCCGTCGCGCCGCAGGGCCCCCCCAGCCGCGCCTCGAAGGCGGCGAGGCACACCGCACAGCTGCCGCCCTGGCCGGGGGTGCGGGGGGGCCCCGCCGCAGCGCTCGTGTGTCCAGCGCTCCAGTTGGAGGAGGAACGATACGGACTAAGGAGGAGGGGAGGGAGCCAGGGGAAGAGGGTAATTAGGTGGGGAGAGAGAAGAAAGGAAGAAGAGGATGAGGATGAGGATGAGGATGAGAAGTAGGAGGATGAGGAGGAGGAGGAGGACGACGAGGAGAACGAGGAAGAGGAGGAGGGCGAAGAGGAGGAGGAGAAGTAGGAGGAGGAGGAGGAGAGTACGTGAGGGCACACCTGGGGGAGAGGCATGGCTATAACCAGTTGGTAACATGTGACGAACATGCGTCTCATCTTCTGTTTTCCCAATTTCATTTCAAACATGCTATGCCTATACTATCATGGAAAATCGCATGCTTTGACAATGGAAATATGCCTTTTGGATTCGGCCAATTACGTCGCTTTTTACAAGTGGACAGCAGACGTAAGTTGAGACAGAGAAGGGGCTACACTAAAGACGTCTCCCACACACACATGCTGCTATTCATACTCATGGGACAGCTACTCACACGCCGGACTACGTATTCACATATTGAGGACGTATGGGGCAACCACTCTCACACGCCTGGCTTTGCCGCCACACACAATGGGATACCCTACTGGTTACCCTACAAGCGCGACCCGCACAACCACCCTCTGTGACTATCAAAGGACAGACTCTCTCACACGCCTGTTGGATACGTCGAGGTCTTACACGGGGACAATAATGACACATGGAACATCTACGCATACGATACGAGGCAGGCTGCACCGTTACAGTACACAAGGGACCATCTATACGGTGGACACATGCTTGACTTTCTCAGTCCGACGTGATACCATTTACGTTGATCAAGCGAAGTCTACAGGGTAAACATCTACCGTTGCTGTTTTTGGGTGCCAGCCATGGCCTCCGACCCATGCGCTGTCTATCCCACTTGCACTGTCCAAAGCCACGTCCTACGGCCAGCAGCTCTACGGAAGCACCGACGACAAGCCTCACACCCTGAGAGGGAGCCCACACGGGCATGCCTGGGGAAGAGGCAGGGCACAGGCAATCTGCCGTTGGCCGACGCTGCGGAGACCGAGAGATGTGCTCGGACGCCTTGTACGAGCTGGGATCGGAGCCGTGCCGGGCGAGACGCGACGACCATGGCCGAGGAAGAGTGAGGGGCGGGGGTGCGCGGGAGGGCGCGGGGGGCGCAGGTGCACCCTCCAAGCCGCGGGCCGGAGCAAATGCCTCGGACCTCCGCGGCTTAGAGGAGGAAAGGAGAAGGAGGAGGAGGAGGAGGAGGAGGAGGAGGAGGAGGAGGGCGAAGAGGAGGAGGAGGAGGAGGAGGAGGAGGAGGAGGAGGAGGGAGTACTCTGGCCCAAGGAAGGCCATGAAATTGGCCGACCCGGCCCCACTTCGATGCCACAGGCTGCGCTCCCGCTGCCCGCCCTGCTGGCCTGCGGGTCCGCGCGGGAAGACGAGGAGGGAGGGGGATGTCCACAGCCTCTGGCACGAAGGAAACCTCCCCCCCCCCCCGGGACCACAAAGACCACCGCTCTCCGCTCTGGAGCACTCCTGGGTGCCCCCCCGGGGGCCCGTGGAGGACCCCCGGAGCCCGAGAGCGGGCTGGCAGCTCCAGGAACCCCTCTCGCCGCGCCCCTCCTGACCTTCCGGCGGACTTGCCTTTTTTTGCCAGCCCGCGGCCCCCCAGACCCCACAAAAACGAACGTAGAGACAGAAGGCCCAGGATCGAACCGCTCAATCCGCCAGGAGACTGGGCTCGTCACCCCCGCCGCGCCCACCAAGGGGGAGGTCAAGGGGGGCAGACTCAGGGGAAGAATCATTTACCCAAAATTCGGGATACTTCGCCGTTAGATCGGCGATAATCCCCGATGGTAAGAAAAAATCCCTCGCCATCGCTCGGACATCCATTCCCTGTGTTTTTTTTCAGTTTCGTGCGTGGCTTTTTCGCCAAATGATCAAGGATGCTCCTCGATGGTCCTCGCCGAAGGAAAAAATTCACACGTCCGCCAAGAATCCGCACGCTCCTGGGCGGCGGCTGCGGATCGATGCCTCCCTCCGTGAGCCTGTCCCACCCTGA